ATATATACCTGGCTCTGTACTTTGGGAGGCAACAACTTTTTCTGTGCCTGGGATCTCCAGTTAGCTCCCATGATGTCGGATAAGTAATGCCATTAGCTACTAAATAGCCCCAACATTCCAGTCAATGACTAGAATCTCCCTGGTTGTCCAAATTATCAGAAATGCACCCCTTAGGTTGTTCTCTAGATTGTGGTTGTGAGTAGCAAAAGTAATTAGTGGGTTCGGTGGGTGGTCTGATATTCTTGTTTGCCAGTGTCTTTTGAGTCTCAGCCATTGTTTTGCATCAAGTATTAGAAAGAAGTCTATTCGCATTAATTGAGGTTACTTCTTTAATTCTCCTGTGATTGTAGGTTAATAAGGGTTGGCTTAATCACCTGGGTTCATCCTATGCAGGGGAGCAAGGTAGCTTGAAAAAGTAGTGATTTAGAAATTGAAATCGGGTTTGACTGGGCAGGGGCCTGATTCCATTTCCCTGGTCCGAATTGGGTGATTCTTTAGTCACACCACATTAAACTGAACTAAAAGAATTATAAAAAAGAAAAAGTAGAGAACTAGGAGCCTCGGGTGATTCGGGGGGTTTTGGTGGTGGAATTGCCAGCCTCTTGATCCAGTTTGACTTGGCCAAATTTTTATTCGGATAGTGATTTTAAATTTTGAGTCACTGTGAAAAAGTATGAATGTTTTTAGGGTATGTAAGAGACAAACTGGTATATGGTGTATGCTATAAAATGAGGTGGTGTCTTCTGTCGATTGCCTATGATGGATGGCAGAGAATAACAATACCTCTGTAAATCTTTGTTCTTGGGTTCTATAGATTATCTTTCGCCGATCCCAAATAGTTGGGATAAGAGACTTAGATGATGGTTTTGTAGTTTATCTGCACCGTCATTGAAAGTGGGTGGTGGTTTACACTCACCATACATGATGCACCTGTGGTTTATGGTATGCTGTACCTATTGGAGTTGTGGAGATTTGCTGGGATGGTAGGGTATTTGTTGTAATGCCAAGGCTATCATGGTGATATGCTATGGTTTTTCTATTTTATATTTTAATTAGGTATTCCAGCAGGGAGCTGGAAAAAGGAGTGGAGATTATAGACTTGACAACAAAGGGTGCAACCTTTATCTTGAAAGATAGTGGGTGGAATCATGGATGGTGACTGAGGTGAGCCCCCCCAACATAAGATATATGTGAATGTTATAAAGCATTTGTAATTGGTTTTAATTATGGGGCCAGCTTTCTCTTTCAATGATGCTCCCCACAGGAACAACCCCTCTCTCTCTCTCTCTCTCTCTGAAAGTTTCAGTCTTGGCCAGAATGGCACGCTTCTGGGCATAATTATGCTTGTAGGGGTATTTTGGTCATTATGATAACAAAGGATATAAAGAAATCCCACAGTTTGTAGCAAAACTTTTGAGGTAAAGATTGGGTTAGGGCTATTTTGGTCATGTTAGAGCATGAGCACTGCATATTACGGTGTTATCTTTATTTTATATAATGAGTGTCGCTCATTAGAGCCATTTTAGTTGTGTTTTGGAACAAGAACTGGTTCCAAGAACTTGGCGATGCTAGTGGGATTGCCGATTCTCAGGTTGGCTTGGAAATTTTGGCCTTTGGGATTTGCCCAGTGAAAAAACAGAAAGAATAATGAAAAAAAAAAAGAAATCACTCTGGGACTTGGGAATTGGCCGAGTTCCAACCGTGAACTGCCTAGTTCCATGCAACCCTAGGTGATTCCACGCATCGGAGTTATACAGAACCAGGGAGACCCTGGGGCTGATCCCTCTTGGATGATTCTTAGTGGGATCGCCGATTTTTCGTGTCACTGCATTTTAGAGACATAAGCATTGTGTTGCTCTGTGACTGGCCCATTCTCAGTTATCTGTCAAGTTATGCTTTATAGGGAACATGGGTTTGTTTTCTGCGCTGTGTTCTGGTCTACTGTTAATCCAAAAAACACCTCTTTTTCTGATACCATTTGGTTGAGGGTAAATCTGGCGTTTTATGGATTTTGGCCCTTGGCACCTTCGAGGAAGGGTCGGTTGATTCCAAAACAACAATAAAAAGGCGTGTACCTAGATCAATCACTTGAGAGAGAGAGAGAGAGAGAGGTGTGCTGTTGTTTCTGCCACTGTACTGGTAGGTCTGGCAATGGGCTGGGCTAGCCCTGGGCTAGCCTATTCCCCTGAGGGCCGGTCTAGGCCCTATCAGGGCTGGGCAAGATGGGCCAGGCTGGGTAAAACTAAAAGAAAACAAAGCAAGAAAGATGAAAAATTAAGTTCGTCTGGCCGAGCCTGTCTTGGCCTAGGGTTGGCCCACAGGCCCTAGTTTTTAAGGGTTGGGCTGACGGGGTTAGGCAAGGACACCCGGCTCATGGCCTCCCCTATGTGCTAGAGAGCAGCGTCTTAAAACCCAGATCGGTGGGCCTGATTCTCCACCTACATAGATATGTGTCTGCCTGCTGGATCAGCTATTAAAACTAAATGAATTTTAAAAATTTTAATGGGCGGGGATTTAAGAACTTCCGAGAAAATATTAAATAAGCTTAGGAAAAAGGAAAAAAATTGTATAAAGGCAACCGGGCCGCGACCCATACCATCTCGGAATTGATTCAATCCTAATTGATTCCTATCTAGATTGGTGATCTGAATCGAAAATCATAAGTTTTATAACATTGGTTTGAATAAAAGAATGTTATAAAGTACTAATAATAGGAAATGTGTATGATCTGTCTATTTACTTTTGACACAAAGTTGTCTCAATTGTTATTGACTATTGGACGTGAAATTGGGTGGTTGGGACAAAATCTAAAATAAAATTTCTCGAAAGCTAGCGAATTTCACATCCAATGGCTAACAGTAATTTTGTCCTCCTTGTATCAAATGTGAATACCCTCTCAAAATATTGCATGCGAATATTGAATAGTTTAATAGTAGCAGGAGAAAAATAGGTTTGCTGAGTTGAGCAATTTGAACGTTGAGACTTGGCGAGTGTCCAATAGTAGGTTCTTTGAGTTGTACTGTTTTTTAAAAGGTGTGGTTCGTGCATCTCCAAATTTTATTATAAAATATAATTTAAGTGTAAAAAATCCTTAGGATGGAATGAGAATCGATTTTTATCTCTAATTATAAACTTTTAAACTCTAAAAACAGTTTAAATCAAGTAGATCTATAAACATTTCAAAATTTGAAAATAGACCGTCCAGATAATATGTTGCAAGACATTGTTTTCAAAACTTGAAATCAATGTTTTCTCCGTATCCATACATCTTGGGGTTAACATGATCAATTGTAGGGTTTTACAGTGGCAAAACAATATGTTTTGGTAGGTTTCAAGGTGACCTTACTTCTACAGTCTTGTATAAACTTTTTCCTTTCTTTTATGGTGTGGTTTTCATAAGGTTACAACCTTAAACAATCCATTTAAGGCACACCTTCAAATGAAAACATATAATTTTAATGTAAAATATTTTTTAAGATTATCTCAAAATCTATTTTCAAATCTAATTATAAAAAAAATGGTTAGAATCAAGTAGATCTATAAACATATGAAAATCTTGAAAATATACGGTCTAGATAATATGTTGTAAGATGCACCATTTCTGAGACTCAAAATCCTTTTTTCCATAGTCATACATCTCGATGTCGAGATGATCAATTAGAGGGTTTTTTAATAATAAAACAACCTTTAACAATAAAGTTTGAGCCCATCTTCAAACTTTTAGAGCCCACATTTGAGACATCGGATCTAAGATCAAACAGTGATGTGGCTCTCTTGATCAAAATTAGACGGCTGGATGGTAGGGGGAGGATAGAACTTCTATGCTGTAGGGGAAGCACATAAACTTTTCCCTATATTAGATACATTACATTAGGAGTTTCATATGCTACGTTCTAGTGGTAAGGTAATGTACTTTATGG